CGGCGGGGGAGGAAGGGGGGATCGGTTCTATTAAGAGTTCATCAATCACCCAATGTGCACTTTTCACTCGACAGCGGTTCCTCCTACTCCAGCTCGAGTCCGGGCCAGCTGGGATTCGACCAGAAACCACAGCCGGAGGAGACAGAAAGCAAAGCTCAGCCCCGCCATCTAATATTCACGGGCTAGCGCTCGGCTCCCAGCTTCCAGCAGGGAGGCTGCAACTGAATCCTTTAGTCACAAAGAGCGACATGCAAAAACACTTTTCACTCGACAGCGGTTCCTCCTACTCCAGCTCGAGTCCGGGCCAGCTGGGATTCGACCAGAAACCACAGCCGGAGGAGACAGAAAGCAAAGCTCAGCCCCGCCATCTAATATTCACGGGCTAGCGCTCGGCTCCCAGCTTCCAGCAGGGAGGCTGCAACTGAATCCTTTAGTCACAAAGAGCGACATGCAAAAAGGGACCCCGTGGAGAACAACCTCAGCAGACTCAGTGCCCACACCCCCCCCCCCCCCCCCCCCCCCCCGGGGCACAGCCTACTAGTAAAGGCCTTTGCAAGACAATGCACAACAGTACAGGCTGCCTCGGGTAACCAAGACAAGCTTCGCCCATCTTATTTCGCGTTAAACTTGAGGGGCTATGTTGGGCTCGACCCCTAACATAGCTCAGGGGTCGGAGCATCAGCTGTGAAACGCAGAACAGGAGGTAGCTCAAGCTGCTTATGGAAAAGGTTTCCGTGAAGGAACAAAGCAGGGGGGAAATCAAAATCAAAATAACCCCAAGCAGCGGAAAGCTGAGTTAGAAAGCTCCCCCTCACTCCCAACGTTATCCAATACCTGTCGGTTTGCGTAGCTTTGCACGCTACCTTGCAATTACACTTGAAAACACAATACAAAGACATAGCACGGGGCGGGGGGGGTCTTGCTGGAAGGCTGAGTGCCCCAAGACGCGGGGGCTGCATTTGGCTTTGTACAGCACCCAGCACTTGGCGGAGCTGCCATTGAAAAGAAAAGCAGATGGGAGCAATGCAAGGCTCTGTGTAGGGCAGAGAGGAGGAAGAAGGTGTGTGTGTTTGTCTTCACTGACAAAATGTTGTCCACAGAAGGGCCCCCTGCAATGCTCTCAAGTCTCAAGGCGCATAGTCCCCGAATTTCCTGGGCTCCTTTACCGATGGTCAGAGGGTCCTGCAAGAGGGCCAAGGAAGCAGAGATTCCCGACAGAGGGGTTAGCCCGACAGCACTGGTGGGAATCGCTGGGGCTGTCCATATTCTTAGAGAAGGAGGTGGAAACGTTCTCTCCGCCTCTTCCAGGCACAGTGGAGGGGCTTAATCAATCTCCGTGCCTCATCCAGGCCCCTCAGGCCTGCTGGAAAGGCCAGACAAGAGAACCGGGCTTAGAGTAGGGGACAGAGACTCCCCTTCCTCTATCTGAAGCGGAGAGGACGACCCTACAAGCATACACTACAGCCCCTTCGTGTTTGCCCTTGAGCTGAATGTGGATTTCGCTGGAGTGCCAACCAAACTAACGTTTCCCTATGCGAGCTTTATATATTATCCCATACAGCAACCCCTATCGACAGCCTTCTCAGTGAGGCAGCTGCGATTTTTTCTTGTACAGCAAGGCCAAAATAATTTATGTAGAGGATTTTGGCAAATTCTCCTGAACACAGTCTTTGAAAACCTACAAATCATGAAATGGACTTCATCAGCTTGCCTGGCGACTCTTTAAAACATGTTCCCAGAAGTGTTTTTTTTAGAGGAGGGCCATGGAAACACGGTAGATCCAGGTTCATAATACTCATCTCTCTACCAGACAGCAGAGTGGGAGCTCCAAACTCCCATTCCTACCAGGGTTCTACTGGTCTAGGGGCCCTGAGAGGTGCCAGAGATCTGCTGAATTTACACCAGTGGTGGGCCTATTCTTCAGGCTCAAGTCTCATCCCATTACTGCTGCTGGTGGTAACAGAGTTTGCAGAACAGGTCCAAACAATCTTTCTGGGGAAAAAATGGCAGAGAATGAGCAAAGTAAC